CTCTCAGGACTATATGCTGCTTTGGGGACAGTGTTTATCAAGATGTGATTCCCAGGGGAAACGGGTGCTTATTAAACACTAGAGGCCCAGTGCACAACATTCGTGCACTGGATGGTGGTGGGGGGGTCTGTCAGCCTGGCCTGCGCCTCCTCGGGGGTGGGCCTAAGCCCGCAGGTGGATATCCCCCAAGGGGTCCTTAGCACTGCTGCGGAGGCTCCTGCCACTGCTATTGCGCTCACTAGCCCGGCTTTTGGCTGAGCAGCGCTCCCCCGTGGGAGCCCATTGACCACCAGGGGGCAGCTCCTGCATTGGCGTCTGCCCCCTGGTGGTCAGTGAGTGTCATAGTGACTGATTGTTCTTCTGTTTGGTTGATTTGCATATTAGAGTTTTGTTATATAGGATGTAGATTCCTAAGCCCACCCAAGAGCGACTGCGTGAGACTCTCTGGAGGGAAGTCCCATGTGGCTGCTTTTTATTTATTATGTATTTATTATTTTAAATATGTTTTAATTGATTTCAGAGAGGAAGGGAGAAGGAGAGGGAGAGACAGAAACATCAATGATGAAAGAGAATCACTGATTGGCTGCCTCCTGCACACCCCCTACTGGGGATTGAGCCCACAACCACGGTATGTGCCCTTGACCGGAATCGAACATGGGACCCTTCAGTCAGGAGGCTGACACTCTATCCACTGAGCCAAACCCGCTAGGGCGAGGCTGCTTTTTAAAATAAGCAATGTAGGTGACTCTGAGGTGCACTCAAGAACCACAGTCTTAGGAGGTCACAGCAAATGAAAAGCCAGTCCCACTTTTACTCCTCCTTTGTGGTGGGGCAGCAAGCTAGCTCAGGTAAGAAAAATCCCCACATGGCATTTATTTCTGCACAGGAGTATTTCCTCTCTGAGCAGGAAGCCCACTTACTATGCCAGCTCTCTTCTCCAGAGAATCACTGGTAGATAGGAACTCAGCATGGTATCTTAGCTGTGTAGTATCCTGTCTCAAAAATTGCTCTCCTCTTGTGGTTTTTCATTTTTCCCAGTTGGAAATGGGGACCCTCTGCCTTCTTCCTGCCCAGGGCAGACAGGGCAACAGATTGCTCAGGATGTAGCTCAGGGGACACTTGTGTGCCCACCACTCATCTGCGAGTGACCACCAGTGCCATTTCCGCCCACTGTCTCCCAACCCAGGCCCCTTGATAAACAGTGGAGACACCTTCCTCCTTGCTGGACCCAAAACTTTCAGAGTCTGAAGACGGTACATTCACAGGAGCATAAACTTCGTTGACTCCCTTATGAGAAATCGTTACTGTCTCCCTCCATGCCCAGAGCATGCCCTTCTTAGAGGCAAGGGCATGTGTGTGCGTGTGTGGTCACTGGGAGCCTGGTTTGGAATGTGGGTGGGGAAAAGGCTGGGAATTGAGGTGTTGGTGAGTGAGGTGAGTGAGCTGGACGCCAGGGCTTCTCCGAGTGTGTAGAGTACAGGGCACTTCTTAGAGGCAAGGGCATGTGTGTGCGTGTGTGGTCACTGGGAGCCTGGTTTGGAATGTGGGTGGGGAAAAGGCTGGGAATTGAGGTGTTGGGCTCTGGGCATGGAGGGAGACAGTAACGATTTCTCATAAGGTGGCTGGAGGATGTACATGGAGGGAGACAGTATCGATTTCTCATAAGGTGGCTGGAGGATGTACATGTTCTGGAGGAATCGGAAAGTGAGCATTGAGGGGTAGGAGTGGGGTTGGCATGCACCCAGAGAGAGAGGCAAATGCATGTCCTGGACATGGCGGACTCACCTACTGGGTCTGAGAGGCACAGACTGGCCAAGGGGACACATAGGCCGTTATTTCTTAAGCCACCCAAACGGGGTGAACGAAAATGAAAGTTTTTGAGTGGATATCAAAGGAAATGTGGCTCAAAGATGGAAAATCTTCCTCTGTGGGAGGATGAGAGAGAAGAAGACGTAGCGCAGGAGGGACTCTCACTACTGGCTTACGTGCCTTTGGCCGTGCAGGGTCCTAGGGATTGGGTGGTGGAGGAGAGCCCTTCCCTGCTACCCCAGGAGCCCGACAAGCATGGGAAGAGTTGATGGGGCTGCTGCATTGCTATTGTGTCACTGGCCCTTTTCCCGCTCAGGCCCCCATCATTTAAAGTGCCATCCCCTGCTCATTAGCCAAATATAGCAAAAAAGAATGAGGAGAGAGGTGGGTGGAAAGTGAGAGTTAGGGAAGAAAGACAGGTGCTCTTGGGGCATTCGTGAGCGCCTGGGCCAGTATCTCAAAGCAGCAGGGCTTGCTTTCCTTGGGTTAGGGCCTGGGGGTGGGGCCACAGCAGCCACTCTGCCCTCAGGAAGCTCCTCACGTGATGTGGTGTGGGCACCCAGACTCTGTTTTGTGGGTCTCCATGCCCTCCTTTTCCTGGTGCTGTGTAGAACCTGCTCCGCTGGGCACAGACGGCGGGACAGCAATGGAGCCCAAGAGATGCAGTTGAAAGTGAGAAGTATACATGAGTTCATGAATAAAGTTCTATCAGAACACAGTCCCACACATTCATGTACGTACTGTCTGGTTGCTTTCATGCTACAACAGCAGAATTCGAGTAGTTGCAACAGAAATGACATCGCCTGCAAAGTCTCAGATATTTACTGTCTGGTCCTTCATGGAAAGACTTTAACATCCTCGAGGGCTCTCGTTGGCATTTAAATGCTTAGCCTCGAAGTGACTCACATCACTCTACTCCCAACTCGGGCCAGAATGATCACATGACCCTGCCCCTCCATCCTGGGCCAGGAAGTACATCCTACTATGTGCCCAGGAGGCGGGTAACCAGTATATTTGGTACTAATGATCACCACAACAGCCTAGTATGTGTTGGACTCAATACCAGGTGCTGAATATAGAAAGATAAGACCAAATCCCTGATCTCAAAGAACTCAAGGAATGCTAGGATTTAGGGGCTGGCGGTGGGGATAGGCTAAGTGTAGAGTAGATTCAGGTGTCCTTCCCTGGAATACCTAGCTCTGTCTTGTCTAAATTGCCTGAGACAGAAGCTGCTCTCTCAGCTACATGATCGCCAGACCTGGGGACTGGCCGGCTTGGCAGGCGGTAGGGGCGACAGATTTCCCTGATGAGCATTTATATCAATAATAGAAGGGTTGTTTAACAGGAATTCTTAAAGGAAAGATGAGATAATTTCATGTTTTGATATTCGTAAAATTGATTCCGTTGAAACGCGAGCTCTGCAGTGCATATTATTGCTGCTATAATTTTGGCAAAGATGTAATTCAAATTGGCACAGTGTCTGGGAAGGGGGATCCAAGAAGGAAAGAGAGGGTGCGATGGGCCAGGAGGCAGAGGCACGGGGCCAGGTCCCGGGGGCCTGGTGAGAGCTGGGAGGGTGGCCCGGGTGCCTTCGCCGTGGAGGGCCAGGAGGGAGAGGAGGCCGCTCGAGTTTCTGGTGGTGCTAAAGCTTGAGGGGGAGTGGGAGCCACCCAGGGAGGGCTGCGTGCATGTGTGTGGTGGGGGAGAGACATTTAAACATCGTAGGAATGAAGGATAAATTTAAAATCCATCAAGCGCAGTTGAGACAGAATGACAACGTGAGGAGCATGAATCACTCTTCCTAGGGACCCGCCCAACTGTTTGCAGGATTCGTAATGTATATGCTCCTGCATTCCTGCTCCCCACCGAGCTTACCTGGGACCCTCTCCTCTCCCCTTGCTCGCTTGGCCCAGCCCTGGTGGCCGAGTGTGTAGTGCTGACCAGCACGTCCCCATGGAGGACGCGTCACCAGGGGGAGGCAGGGTCAGGGCCTGGGGGACAGCATTCGGGGAGGGCCCCTCCCCTCCCCAGTGCAGAGTGGGTGCTCACGAAGCACTGGGTGAGTGAGCTGGACGCCAGGGCTTCTCCGAGTGTGTAGAGTACAGGGCACTTCTTAGAGGCAAGGGCATGTGTGTGCGTGTGTGGTCACTGGGAGCCTGGTTTGGAATGTGGGTGGGGAAAAGGCTGGGAATTGAGGTGTTGGGCTCTGGGCATGGAGGGAGACAGTAAGCAGGTATCTTTGAAACTTGGCAAGTTCAGAGCCTCTCCGGCCAGAAGGACTGTCCCCGACCTCAGGCTTGCTGTGGGAACTGTTTCCGAATCCTTTGGGTTCCCTACACCCTCTCGGCACACGCTCTTCCTTTCGCCCGTGATCCTCTCCTGTCCCTCACCCGGCAAGTTCTGTTGAAATCCAGCCCAGGGGTCCTCTCCTCCACCAAGCCCTCCCAACCACCCCCCGATGGGCTGAGGCGTCCCTATGAGCTCAGGTAGGCACAGGTCCACCTCAGTCATAGCCTGTCATGTTGTGTGGTCAGATAGTTCTTCCTGCTTCTCCCGAGAGAGGCCGTGGGCTCAATCCAGCTCATCTGGGTGCGCCCAGGGCCTGGCACGGAGAGAGTGAGAGTGAGGGCAGCAGGGTGTGGGGCTCCCCAGAGGAGCCAGGGCATGGGAGAAAGTCTCCCCACCAGCGGGAGGGACACCTCAGCTAGCCTTCAGGGGCGGGGCTGCGAGGGAAGCCTTTGGTGCTCATTCTCCACTCGGAGAGCAGCACCCTAGATGTGTGTCTGTTGCATCTGATTATTCCTTTAACCCCTGTCTTCTGCACTAGACTGTGACGTTTAAGGGACAGAAATCAAGTCGATTGTGTTGAGCTCTTGGTACCCAGCCTCTGGCAGCCAGCCTGGCTGGTGCACTGGACGCTCCTGGGTTCAGCCATCATTGATCGATTCCTGTGAACATGTCTGGGTCTTGTTCTGGGGGACAATGGCATTAACCCTTTTCTCTTCTCTATTTCCCTTGTGCCCAACCCTCCCCTCCCCTCCCCCATGCCTCTCCTACATCATCCCCCTCCCCCCTTCCC